ACCAAGGACTGCAAAAAAAAGAACAACCTCAAAAGCTCTTAAGATAAGCTTTTTCATCGCGTCCCTAACCTACGCTCAGCAGATGGTATGATAAACTATTTTTAGTATGATAGAAAACTGCGCAATCTATAGGCACACGATTATAAGCTTCTCTTTTGCTTACAACGGGCATTTCATGCCTAGTGTATACTGAACACACGAACCTGGCGATATTTTGAGCTCGGCTGATGTATTCTTTTTGACAGGTGCAGAACGTTTCCTGGTGATTATATCTTCCACTTTAGCTTTCTTCACAGTTGGCTCTGCTTCACCAGGCGCATTAGCGGTTTTCATCGAATTATCAGCATTGGAAGAATCATTTTGTGAACCAAGCGTGCGCTTCTTCGCCTCAGTTACCGTTGTTCTTCCTCTCGTAGGAGATTCTTCAACAGGAACGGTGCAGTAACCTGATGCAGGAGGCGGAGGAGCACTACGAGTGCGAACGCGTCCCGATTCGTCTACTTCAGGAGGGCTACTGCACCCAACATCCGGAGAATGTATTCGTGAATGGGATTTCGAACCGGGAGAAGGGGGCACAGAGCTCGAGCGAGAAGACTGGTGTGGATCATTTGGGCGGAGACATAATGAACCATCGAGAATGGAATTTACTATAGATGATACGTTTGCGCCTCCACAAGCTTCATTTTTCTCCATTCCGCCATTTTGTGCCAATTCTAAGGTTACTGCTTGCCCCGCAGGTGCAATGGACATGCAAGCAGTCGCTTGAGGGGTAGATCCAACTTTGGGGGGAGGAGCTGGAGGGCATAGTGGTGTACTGGGAGGAGCAACACTGCATCGGTCGTCATTTGCAGACGGGGCTGCATCAGCAGAAGGGGGCAATGTAAGCCGTGCACTTCGCTTGCGCGTCTGACGAGCCGGCAAAACAGGAGGGGGACGAGCTCGAGGACTCTTGCGCGGCGTCTTCAAAGCATTCTCTGAACTTGCAACAGCTGGAGCAGTCGGCGACACTGTTTCTTCAATTTGCACATTTCCCAACTTCCTAGAGAACTTCATACGCACCGACTTCGATCCATCTGATTTCACTTCTGAAACATAAGACATTCATACATTGATAAAAAAAATAATCAATATGAAAATGTAAAGCTGAATATAGGACTTTAGCCTCTCGCGTTTTCAAGAGTTTAATAAATAAAATAATGATCAAATAAATGAAGGATTTTCACTACCGTTCCACAACATAAAGAAGTTTTAGTGCCAATATGCATTGAAAAAAGTTTGTTTTAAAGCGTTTCGCTCTATCAAAAACGATTTTTTAACTTCATTCAACTAATTCGATTGTGATCTGCATAAACTGCTCTTCTCATCTGAACCTTGTCAATTGTTCTCTGGTTTTTATGCCAACTCCATCATATCGATGATGTCATACTTGATACATTACGGCCGTAACTTCGCTTCATGAAGCAAAAACACGCTGCAAATCTGCTATAAATAGCGCTAAGACACAGAGAATATAGACAACCAAAATTTACAAGTAGCACTCTCAAACAAAATACAGATGGAAGATCCTTCATTGTGTTTTAAAACAAACAACATTTGAAGAAATACTCCAAGTTTTAAATTGATTACTCCTATGCGGAGCACTTTCAGGTCTGACGACGTAGATCGAACACTTAATTTATAAGCGACTGTAACCAGCTTAAGTTCTGTAATTTGCTTGCACTTCTCCCCGTTTAAAAGATACATGGAAATAAATCATTAAAAAAATAAGTGGTAAAAAAAGAATGGTTAAAAGGGGGCGCAACTCGATCTCTCTGTATGGTGTGGCAATAAATAAAGTGGCTGAGAAAGGTTTATTATCACTTTTTTCAAAAATGTGGTGTCTACTAAAATCTAGAGCCGTTATTAAAAAAAGTGAGCAGATGAAATAATTTAAGCGAAATATGTTAGCCATATAAAACGTTCATGGCGTAGTAAAACAGGACATAACATTACAACAAGGTTAAGCATGAGATTCAAGATAATCCTTTTTTGTCCGCGTGTCAACAAATTAAAAACTAGATGATAATGAGAATGTAGTGATTCTTATCAAAATGAAACGTATGACAAATTAATAAGTTAACAATCACATTAATCAGTTCAATAATTATGTATCAAACGATAATTAGTAACGAGACAACTGTACTAAATACGAGTACTGCGGCAACCCGACATGCCGTGTAGGGGGAGAAGTTAATGCACCAACTCAAACGAAACGTATTGTTTCCGGGATTCTAT